GGGGGGGGGGGGACTGGGTGTGTTGGTTTTCTATCCTGCTAACTAGATGAATTTGTTTATTAGTTCTAGGAGTATTTTGTGGAATATTTTGAGTCTTCTATGTAAAGGATCATGTTGTCTGAAGATAAGGATAATTTGACTTTTCCTTTTCCATACACATGCCTTTTATTTCTTTCTTTTGCCTAATTGCTCTAGTAAAGTTTTGGGCACTATATGGAACAGTTGTGGTCATAATAGACATTCTGGTCTTGCCCCTTTTTTTAGTATGAAAGTTTTCAGTTTTTCTTCATTAAATATGATATTGGAAGTAAGTTTGTCATAAATGCTTTTTATTAGAGATAAAATTCTTCTATACATAGTCTCTTCCAAGTTTTTATTATGCACAAATGTTGGATTTTATCAATCATTTTTTTCTGCATCTATTGAGATTATCATGTGATTTTTGTTCATTTATGTGATGTATTACATTTATTGATTTGCATATAATGAATTATCCTTGCATTCCTTGGAAGAAGCCTACCTGGTCATGATATGTATTTTTTTTTTGATATGTATTCTTTTTAATGATTTCTTGCATTTTGATTGCCAGTATCATGTTGATGATGTTTGCATCTATGTTCATTAAAAAGATTGGCCAATAGTGTTCTTTTTTAGTTATCTGATTTTGGAGTCAATATAATGCTGTCTTCCAAGAATGAATTTAGAATATTCCTTCCCTTTCAGTTTCAATAGAGATTGAGAAGTATTGATGTTAGATCTTCTCTGAAATTCTTGTAGACGCCAATAGTAAATACATTAAGACCTTGACTTCAGATAGTGGGTAGGTATTATTTTTAAATATTATTTCAGTTTCATTCCCTATTATTGGGTTGTATCTTCTTAGTTCAGTTTTGGTAATTCATGATATCTAGGCATCCATTTCTTGTGGATTCCCCAGTTTATAAGAGTACGTGTTTTGAAAAAGGTATTTATAATCTTCTAGATATTGGGGACCTAAATTGTGACTTGAGTACATGCTTAGGTTATATA